TATGGATTAGTTTGGGGTTATTGGACTTAGGTTGCCATTTTTGGGACTAAATCTCCTTTTGATGCCTTGTTGTTGTTATACAAGCATCAAGTTTCGAGCTTTACGTGACATTCATGCTTGGGAAGGCCAGATCTTTGATTTAGGGAAACATATCTGACCTCAGGAGGCCAGTAGAGTTTGTGCATGGCATGAATTCGCCGAGTTGTTCCTGAGACTCGGCGAGTAGGGTTAGGGTTTCACGTAAATTGCTCAGTGAGTGGATTTGCTGAGTTGGGGGATGACTCAGTGAGTCAGAAGGGAGTTAGAGGACTGGAGTTCAAGGCGGCACTCACCGAGTTGTTCTTGAGACTCGGTGAGTTGAGTTGTGGTGGCCCTGCGATTCATGCCTGGTATGACCTGTCAAGCATAGGGAGGGATTCGGCGTGCCAAGCGGGACAAAGTGTTAAAGAACATGTGTGAACTCGCCGAGTCACCAGAGTGCACTCGGCGAGTAGGGTCAAAGTGTGACCGTTGACTTTTAGGGTTTGGTCAATGGAGTACTTGTGTTGAGAGGGGGGTAAAATAGCCTTTTTCCCTCCTGAGGGTGCCAAAGGCAGGTTGACTCTAGTCTTGAGAATTATATTTATAAGAGTATTTACTTTATGTGAATAGGCGAAGACTAGGCAATATTCCTACTGAGTCAGAGATTTACCGAGATGCCTGAGGTGAGTCTTCTCACTATACTTTACCTAGTGTGGTAACAGAGTTATGCGATAGAGTATTTTAGAGTTACATGCCAGTGTAATTGCATGTTATTTATGTGCTATGATTTATTGTGATATGTGCTATGTATGATTCAGAGTTACAGAGTTAGGACCTTCGGGTCCACAGAGTTAGGACTTTCGGGTCCACAGAGTTAGGGCCAGAAGGTCCATAGAGAGTTGGGGCTGGAGGGCCCCATTGAGACACATAGACCTGAGGATCAACAGAGTTACAGCCTCAAGTGGCTATTATGTGTTAGAGTGGTATTTTGGGGAACTCACTAAGCATTTATGCTTACAGTGTTATGTGTTATGTGTTTCAGGTACCAGCGATGATCGCGGGAAGGCGCCGGCATGATCCGTACACACGCATATCGGAGTTTATATATATATATATATATATATATATATATATATATATATATATATATATATATATATTTGATCTTGGGTTTTGTATTGATACAATGTTGATATAATGATTTGTTTATGATTTCAAATGATATTTTATGGGTTACAAAAGTGAAAAATTGTTCGAATTTTTACGGTGTTATAGACGTACAAACAAAAGATGCACCAACGGCTATTAAGTGCTTAATACTGGGGATTTCAACATCCAATTTCAGATCCGAGCTCATTAAGACGTCCTAAGGCATAAAGTTGGCAACTTTATTCCCTTACATGCCATAAGGGACTCCAAAACTTCATTCTTCTCATTAAGATATAAGACCTCAAACTCATGCATGACATCTAAACAACCTTCAAGATGGCACCTTTATGCATCTAGCATGCTCAAAGAGCTTAGATCTGACCATCCAAGTCTTTGGAGTTGCTCAACTCACAAGAGAAGGTCCAAAAACCAAAAAAGGACTCCATAACAATACTTTAGCTCAACTAACAAAAGAGATGACAAGGTTATGACTTTATACTTCCAAATGATCCTCAAGATGAACTTGATGTAGAATCTAGAAGTTCAATGGCACCCAAGCCTTGATCGTCATCTTCTCCCTCTTGAATGCTCTCTAAAATGGCCACCAAAACACTCTTTAAGCTCAAGAATCACACACATACTAAAATATGGGGTTAAGAGACACAATGAGGCTATGGAGGTTGATTAGGGTTTAGTCTAATTAGTAAAAGGTTGCTTAAATAGGTCACAAGTACGTAAATTAGGGTTTTGGCTATCTGCCACGTACTCCCCGCGTACGTGGTTCATCTCCGCGATCCTTCCACCTCAGTACGATAATCATCCTTATAAGTACACCTAGCATACGGAAGGGACCAAATTTGAAATAAAAATTCATTTCAAGGGAAAGAAGGGTAATAACCTGGATTGGAGTGTTACAAACGTACCGTTTCAGTTTCAAGAATGGACTGGTGGAGAATCGATTTTTGAACAATCAAGATTCATAAATCGATTTTTTATTTTTGATCAAATCAAGATTCAAGAATCGATCACTTTTCAGACTTCAGAGTCATGAAGAAGAAGAAAATCGAGAACACAGAAGAGCATTCGTTTATAATTCAATTGGCAATGAGGCGTACGTGACTGCAAGAATGAAGAATCTGAAATTTCCATTCGTCCCTTAATTAAGTGACATTTGAGTTAAGGTTAAATGGGCCCCCTTAAGCCCTAAGTCCTTGCTTACTCTCAATCAATGTAGAGTGAGCCTGAGATGAACTTTGAGAGGTTCTCAAAACCTTGGATATATTGTAGATATCTAAAGTATCATATTCTTCATCATAGTTATTTCTAGTGATTAATATAAGTATCCAAAAAAAATGAAGCATTACTCGTGAATATGTGGTGTAATCTTTTACAAATTAGATAGAAAGTTTGTTTGCAAAATAAATTAATATGTTAACTTATTGGAACATGATTTTTATATATCTATTGACTTGTACACGTAACATAAAAATAATGATGTTTTAATAAAGTATAGGAATGTGTAATATGAAAATATTTGAATACTCAATAAATTAAGGGTAATGATACGTACATAATAATTTTAGTCATACACTACAAATTATGTTTTATATAGTTGTATAGTATAATCGTCTAAAACATAAATTGTTATGTATGACTAAAAAATATTGTGTATAAATCACTACCCATAAATTAAATACATAATTTATTTTGGTAAATTATGTTAACTAGATTATGTATCTCTTTGTTAAGCAATATTAGAGTATAAGTTGTAGATTGTACCCATTAATTTTTAAAAATAAAAAGTAAAATAATAATTGTAACTTAGAAATCTAAAAACATTAATTACTTTTATTTTTGGGAAATCTCCAGAAAAAACCTATAATTTTAGTCTAATTTATGAAAAAGTGTTAAATTAATTTTTGTTTATAGAAAAGCACAGAATACCAGCTAAAACTTCGAAAAAACCATTTTTGCCCGGTTTCAAAGATTTAGCCGGTATTTTGTCATTTTTCGTTAGTTTGCTCAAATTATTAGAACTTTTTTTAAAAAAATTACATGATAACCAAAATATTGGAACTTTTCTGAAAATTGGTACGAAATTAATGGATATTATTATTAATAAATCATTTATAAACATGTAATTATTTTTATTATAAACAAAGGAAATACATTTGCTAATTTCTAGGAATAGAATGGTCGACTATGTACTTCTTTATTATTTGTTGACCACGTTAAAGTCCCTATGTTTCTCCTATGTATCGATGTGGGTATTATAGAAAGAAATAACCTGTTAGGCGTGACCAATACAAGATTTGATAATATATATTAATACACAATCAATAAGTGTCTACTTGCTATTAGACATGATACTCTATGATCACGTGTTATTAGAAAATATAATTACACAATGATTTTTGAACATATAGATATTCTATTATAATCTTTAACTTAATTATCACCTAACCTCCATACATTACCCGGTAACAACCATCAAATTACACACATCTGTCAAGAGTGAAAAGTAAACTTTGAATGACAATTTAAATAGATAATCACCCTTCACTTATTTGCATATAAACTATCATTCACGGATCACTTTTCACATTTGATAGATGTGTGTTAGTTGATGGTTGTTAACATGTGAGGTATGGATGTTGAGTGGTAGTTAGGTTAAAAAACATAAGATGAACACCAACATTAAAGGAACCCTAACTGAGTACATCTCATTATCATATCCACAACAATACATAGGAGAAACGTAAAGAGTTTAAATGGTTAATAAGCAATAAATGAGTACTTAGACCACCAATTTATTCCTAGAAATTAGCAATAAATGTATTTCTTTTTTTATAATAAAAATATTTCTTATATTTATAAATAATTTGTTAATAATAATATTCATTAATTTCTTAATAATTTTCAGAAAAGTTTTAATATTTTGGTTATTAAGTAATTTTTGAAAAAATCCTAAAATTTTGAGCAAACTAACGTAAAAGAATAAAATACGGGCTAAGTCTGCAAAACCGACCGAAAATGATTTTTCTAAGTTTTAACCAATATTTTGTTCTTTTTTATAAATAGAATTTAATTTGAGATTACCTAAAATTTTAGGATTTTTCCATAACTTTATTTTTCTCAAATTTCCATCTATTTCTTTTCTTTTCTTCGAATGTTATTCTGATACCGCGGGGTGTTAAAAGAAAATAGTGGCTTACTGGCTTCAATTTAATTTGAGATTACCTAAAATTTTAGGATTTTTCCGTAACTTTATTTTTCTCAATCTTCCATCAATTTCTTTTCTTTTCTTCGCCTGTTATTCTGATACGTGCGGGGTGTTAAAAGAAAATAGTGGATTTTTCCGTAACTTTATTTTTCTCAAACTTCCATCAATTTCTTTTCTTTTCTTCGCCTGTTATTCTGATACGTGCGGGGTGTTAAAAGAAAATAGTGGCTTACTGGCTTCAATTTAATTTGAGATTACCTAAAATTTTAGGATTTTTTTGTAACTTTATTTTTCTCAAACTTCCATCCATTTCTTTTCTTTTCTTCGCCTGTTATTCTGATACGCGTGGGGTGTTAAAAGAAAATAGCGGCTTACTGGCTTCAATTTAATTTGAGATTATCTAAAATTTTAGAATTTTTCCGTAACTTTATTTTTCTTAAACTTCCATCCATTTCTTTTGTTTTCTTCTATACGCGCGGGGTGTTAAAAGTAAATAGTGGCTTACTGGCTTCACCGCAAGTCCGCAACCGACTTGATACAGGTGCAGCCGATCTGAGCAATAAACCCCAAAAGGAAACGTCGGAAAAACCCAAAACGAAACAAGTAAATGGCGCTACGCCAACTCCGACGTACACTAACAACCACCACCACCAACAAACTACCAATATTGTACAACTCCGCCTCCACCTCCGACGATGCGGTTACCCTCCAGCTACTCTCATGGGGGCGAGGCTCTTCAGGCCAACTCGGCAACGGCAAGGAAGAATCGCATCTATATCCTTCTCCCTTTTCATCTATCATTCTCCCTCCTCTCTCTTACCGTATCTCTTCATCGACTTCATGTCACACGAGAAACGACGACCAATTAGAAATTGGCATTGCCTGTGGACTATTTCATTCTGCTGTGCTAATCGATGGGAAATTGTGGATTTGGGGAAAAGGCGACGGTGGACGCCTCGGATTTGGTCATGAAAACACTGTTTTTCGTCCGACGGTGAATTCTAACCTGGAATCGGTTCGGAGTATTGCTCTCGGTGGGCTTCACTCCGTCGCACTCGATTCACATGGTCACGTATTCTCATGGTCAGTTATTTCCTCTACAACCTTATTTATTTGATCCCATATAAACTTGAGAAGCTTAGAGGATGCAAATTAAATACTATATGAATAAGTATTTAACTGAATTCATCTGTTCTATTCTATTACTTTGACTAATCGATGACAGAAGTTGTAGAAAATATTGAACTAGCAGAAATGCTTATATTGAGATCCCACTTCAAGTTGCTGTATTTGTTTGTGTATTTATCTGTATATGTAGGGATAACATTAACACCAACAACGATGCATTTCATGTCACACACCACAAACTTGCCTTCAATATGTAATCTTTGATTGCATTTTCATTAAAGTTCTCTTTGCCATTTATAATGAAGTTTACAGGGGTTATGGTGGTTTTGGTGCTCTTGGTCATTCTGTTTACACCAGAGAACTCTCTCCAAAACGAGTACAAGGCACTTGGGAGGGACAAATCACTCAAATTGCAACCAGTGGTACACATACTGCTGCAATCACTGAAGCAGGTGTGGATCCTTTTATAAATCATATTTAATTACATCATTTATTTCAGTATCATTTTTATCTTCATTTTATACATGTTGAATATAGGTGAGGTATATACATGGGGAAGAGATGAAGGGGAAGGGAGACTTGGGCTAGGTCCAACACGTGGTCAAAATGAAGTTGGTGGACTTAGCATACCTTCAAAAGTAAAATCACTACAAGTTCCCGTTGTTTCTGTTGCATGTGGTGGTTTTTTTACAACCGTCATTACAGATGATGGCCAGTTGTGGAGTTGGGGAGGTAAAAAATAAAAATAAAAAAATACGAAACTTACTGCTTTCTTTTTAATCCACCCATTTTCATATAATCATAAACCCTAATTTTTGTTTTTCTTTTTAACGCAGCAAATTCAAACAATGAGCTTGGAAGAGGCAACCGAATTGGTGGTTGGAAGCCTCAACAGATTCCCGGTCTTGAGGGTGTTCGTGTTGTTCAAATAGCAAGTGGTGGATATCACTCTCTTGCATTAACCGGTATGTGGCCATAAATGACCGTTTTACCCTTATATTTCCCTGATATGTTTGATTGGTTTTTATTTGGAAGATGATGGTGGAGTGCTTTCTTGGGGGTATGGTGGACATGGACAATTGGGGCATTTTTCTACACAAAATCAAACTGTTCCTTTGATTATCGAGTCTCTAGCTGCTGAGAAAGTTGTCCATATTGCTTGTGGAGGTTCTTCATCAGCTGCTGTAACTGGTAATATATATATAACCTATATTAAGAATTAATATTTAAATCATTTGGTGGCATGTATAATTTGTATATGTACAACAGATAAAGGGAAGTTGTACATGTGGGGAAATGGGAAGGATGGACAATTAGGGGTTCCTGGTGTGCCAGAAATACAACCTTTTCCAATTGAAGTAAAATTTTTAATGGAGGATGATGGTTTGGGGGGTTCATATAATGTTGTTTCTGTAGCCATTGGTGCATCACATGCTCTTTGTTTGGTTTCGAGGTCAACGAATTCTTCATGATTTACTCTCGACTCAAGAATGGTGTTTGGATTTTGTTAATGCCTTTTTTGACACCTCACATGTGCATGTTAGTTGTTTATTTATGGCAGACTTGTTTGAGTTTAGCACTTTATGTTTATGGTCCTCTTGAATCTCATTTTGTAGTTAGCTTGATTTTGCATAGACTGTAACAAATGAGGTTTAAAAAAAAAAAAAAACATATAAATAAACTTCGGTTTAGCCTGGATTGAGATTTGATTCTCTAAAGAACAAGAATCAAGAATTATACCGGATATATTTAGTTGTGGTTCTGTTTCTCACTTGAATGTTGCTTAACTGTTGATTTATAGATCTTTTGAATATTTTGTTTTTATTTTAGTTTATTAATTTGAGCATAATACAAAGCCACTTGTATTCTAGTCATGCTATCAATTTAGAAATTCATTATATTTTCTTTCACATGTTATTAAAAATCAAAAGGTTCGTTACAAAGTACAAAAATGAAAAAAAGACGATTACATTTATCATTTTTATTAATTTGGCTATTTTTTTTTACCAATTATGTTAATAATTTGATGGTTAAATTGATAAAAGTTAATAATTTGTGGCAGTGAATATTTTATGTTTATATGGATCTTGATATCTAAGACTAAAATCTAAATGATTGAGAAGATTGTTATCCTAAAAAAAATTAATAGGATAAATTAATAAAATAAGTCTTTTCTATAATATACCTATTAATTTAATGGTTAAATGGTTAATCATTAAAGTGGTCCAAATATGCAAGGTTATTCACAAATATTTTCGATGTTTATTACCTCATCGTAAAATAAAAAATTCAGTTTTCAAAAAAAACTTGAAGCTTATTTTATTTTTATTTTTTTATTTTGCAAAGCTCTGTCACAGACAATTTTAGATCAATTTTTTACATCATTTATTGGTGAATTTTTTTTATATTCAAAAAATGTCATTATGACTGTTTTGATAGACCATAGGGTATTTTTCAAGCATCAAAAAAATAAGTTTAGAGGTAATATATATATATATATATATATATATATATATATATATATATATATATATATATATATATATATATATATATATATATATATATATATATATATATATAGAGGTTCAGGTTCATTTGAGACCATTCTAATTTTATGAGACCGTGAGATCAAATCTAAAAATAATTTTAAAATGCAAAATAAATGGAAAAAAATTCAAAAATTCTTTTTTTAAATATTATTTTCGGAACTTGAATTAACTAAAAAAAATTTAAAAAAAATAAAAAAAATTCCATTTTTTTTTTAAAATACGTTACACTGACATATTCTAAAAAATAATTTTAAAATGCAAAATAAATGGAAAAATCTAAAAATTCTTTTTTTAAATATTATTTTCGGAACTTGAATTAACTAAAAAAAATAAAAAAAAAAAATTCTATTTTTTTTGAAAAATACGTGAAATATTCTAAATAGAATATTACACTGTACATATTCTAAAAATAATTTTAAAATGCAAAATAAATGGAAAAATCAAAAAATTCTTTTTTTAAATATTATTTTCGGAACATGAATTAACTAAAAATAAATAAAAAAAATAAAATAAATAAAAGAATGCGTCTCACGGTCTCACAAAATATAAGTGATCTCAAATGAACCTAACCCTATATATATATATATATATATATATATATATATATATATATATATATATATATATATATTATTTTAATATTTGACTTTATAATATTTTATTCTGTAGATATATTTCGCTTTCTTATCTTGATAAAAAAAACAATTAAGTATTAAAATGTGACCTAACAACCACTAATAAATGAAAATTGTTTTGATGATCCTTCAAACATTATCTTCACTTGGATCAATCTTTTTTCAAGCTTTAACAAATGAAAATTTTAAGTGTATAGAGAATATCAAATATTTGACTGATACAGAAATATTTAAGAGCAATATTTTTTCTATTTAAACAACAAACACCGACCTTTGTTAAAATCCAAAAAATTTATGAACATTGTTTTTTCTCTCCTACAACTTTATGTCTTACTCAAATGTTAATGTAAGTGTTTGTTGTTCCTATAAATTTGACATTCTTGCTTGTAAAATTTTGAAGAATATTACAGTTTCCAATAAAACTAAAACATAACTTGCTTTTAATCGGCTGAAGAACATTGAAGATGGACTGACGAAATAGTTTTTTACAAAAATATTTATAACACAAAGTTCTAAGATAGAAAAAGATAAATATTTATAAATTTCTTATCAAAATAATTTAGGTTATTTTTTGTTATAACATTTATAAATATTTATTTTTCTAAAGTTTTTTTTTGTGTAACACTCAAATGTTTTTGCATTTATTTAAAAGTAGATTTACAAAATAAAATTTTATAAAAATAAATATTTTACAAATTAATAGATTTTTTTAATAAAACTAAAATGAAAAAAAAAAAAAAAAAAAAGAAGAAGAAGGGATAATGAATGAGATAACAATATTTGACTTTTGTTCGCATTCGTCACATTTCTCGTTATTTACATAATTTATCGGTGAACACATTTTTTATTTTTCAAAAATACTTTTATGTCATAATGATATTTTTGAATAAAGAAAATAAATTCATTAAAAAATACTGAATAATATAAAAAGATAATTAAATATAAATAATCAAAAACTTTTATAATAATATAAAAAATTAATTAAGTATAAACAAAATCAAAAGTTTTTATCTTATATCTCATTGTTTAGATGTCATTTGGGATCTATAATAATTTATAAATAAATTTTGTTTAATTTTGTGAAAGATGATATTTTGTGTGTTCGGTACCTTTGTGAGCATTTAGGAGTTTCTAACTTCTAGCGTTTGAGAAAATGCTTCAGTTTGAGCAAAAAACGTTGTTTGACACATCAAACTTATAGCGTTTAATTTTAAACAACATGCTCTAAATCCAAAAGTTACTTCACATAACGTTTAATTAAACGTTATCAGCTATCTGTTACCCGCTACCAACTAGTTTTGCGGAACACATCCATTATATGTATTATGGTTGTCAAAATTGTGATCGTATGTCGTACGATCGTACGATCCTAAATATGAAAAACGAGTTAGATCGTATTTAGGATAAGCTTGTAAGATCGTAGGTAGGATCGGGATCCGATCCGGTCCTACCTTCTCTTGATTTTTATTAACATTTTTTTACCATTTTATTTCTTTTACCCTTTATCAGTTTACTATTTATGATTTTGTATTATGACTTATAACTAATATTTTAAGGTTTTTGTAACGTTTGAACGAAAAATTGAATGGTTGAAATATTTTTTATGATTATAAATTATAAATTATAAATATGTTTTATTTTGTGAGATCTTAAGATCCCAATTTTGATCTTACGATTCGATTTAGGTTCTTTTATATTTATTATATTTAATATTTTCTTTTTAACCATGTTAAAAAATATATATTGATTTTTTAAAAAACATTATTTGATATTTTACTTTAGGTTTTAAATTTTATACTAAATTTTAAGTTTATTTGATATATTAATATAAGTTATTTATTTAAATTGAAGTTAATAAATTAAATATATCATATTGATAAGTCACAAATCCTTCTATTTAAGATAATGTTTACGACTTAAAGCATATTTAATATTTAAATTAATAAATTAAATATATTGTATGAAAATACGAAAAATTAAAGAGTTTAAATGAATATAGTAAAATAAAAAATATTTCTTTTATAATAATATTTAAAAAAATAATCATTTTATTTTAAAATCCATTATCGTTGGATTCGGACCTAGCCAAATATATGTTTTGAGAAAGTGCTAGATCCCAACTCCTTTCCCTCCTCATCTTTCACTGCTAAGCTTTCCCGCCCTTTTACTTTACTAAAACCCTAGAATATGCTCAACCATCGTAGCTGATTTGACCAAAACAGGTGATTAATCTTTGTCTGATGATTACGCGTTTTTATCATTGTTCACATTCCTTAGTTTTTTGTTGGATTAACTCTTCTTATCCTCTAGTTAATCTCTTCTGTTTTCGATCTATTGTCTCGGATTACAGTTAGAGGATTTCAGCTCATCGGAGTCAACAAAGATTTAAGCTGATTGAAATCAGATCGCCTTCAGAAGTTTATTCAGGTTAGCGATTTTCCCTTCCTTTATTCTGTATGCAATGAAAGTGGCTTTATTGTGTAGGTATATATACAATTTTGTGATGATTGTCTGCTTGTTATTAGGCCCTTGAATGCTCTCACAGCGTAATTTAATAATCCAAAAGTAGCCACCTCCTTACCCGTAACATTGCTACATTTGATTTCAGAACGTCAAACCTAGCACACCTTCAAATACACAAATGATACGGGTTTTGTTACTCGCGCATGAAAGATATTCCTTTTGTAATGCTTCTGCCAAAATTTGATGTGTTTATGAAAAGATTCCAAAGAAGTTTGGAGTAAACCACAATTTTTTACTTTGGAAAATTTTCCATCTGGTTTTAGGTCTTCAAAGTCAATGTTTACCTTTTCACTATAAATCTATATGTAACTAAAAAAAATGAAATTATAACTAATCAGGTCTAGTTCTAACCAATTTTTATACATCAAAATTTTCTGTTTTTCAGTACAAGATAAACCAAAAACCCAAAGATGACCGAAAAGACAGATTCCTGCTTCACAAAAGGAGCAGATGCAGTTCTAAATATTCCCCCCAACTCATCAATACCAATTGCATATCACCCTCTCTTTGGTCCTCATAATGACCTTCTTCTCCTTGAGCTTGATGAAAAGCTTCTCCCTGATGTCATCAACCAAAGGTATTCTTGGTATTCTTTATCTCCTCTTTCATTGACATGCCACTAACTCTGATTTTCTACTCAGAGTAAGTTTACGAGGACAATCAGATGAAGATGCAGTTCTCTGCACACAGTCAAAAACTTATGCTATTAAGTTTGTTGGAACATCAAATTCTGTATTCCTTGTTCCTCCTTCAGACCAATTTTCAGTAAATGAAGAAGATGAAGATCCAGAAAGCAATGCAGCATCTGTCCTTAAGGTAGCACCTGGAATCATGGAGCTTGTTGAAGTTGCTCCAAGAATAGACAAACTTAAACTCCTCCTTTCAGAAAACCCATATAAATTTGATGAAGTCAATGAGATCTATGATTCTGGTTTATACCAATGGGATGACTTAACTGATAGGGTTCAAGCTAGTGATGAAGAATTAAGATCCGCTCTTCGAGTTCTTTCAGCTGTAGAGATTAATGGGTATTGGAGAATTATCGATCAGAAATACATGGATCGAATCCTAAGCATGCTTATAAACAACTCATTGTTAAACGATTGGTCTTTGAATGCTCTTAATGAAGATGAAGTTGTGGAATCTTTAGTGAAAGATGGATTTTCAAGAGTGATTGCACGCCATTGTTTGGAGGTATATGGGAGTAAGACAAATGGGGAAAGTGTTTGGGGATTAGATGAGAAACGGGTTTGTGTGCATTTTGCTAGAGGGATATTATCGTCATTTGGAAAGATGAAAATGGAAAGTTTTATGGAGGAATGGGTAAAGAAAGTCCCTGGAGGAATGGTGGTGAGTTTTGAGATGTTGGAAGGGGAAGTTTTGGTGGAAAAACTTGGAATTCAGAGTTGGATTTATGGGTTTAGTGTTTCTTCTTTGCCTTCAGATCCTGCTAATCGTTTTTCTAGGCTTTTTCAAGAAAGGTCTAAATGGGATTGGAAAGATCTTCATCCTTACATCAGGTTTTATCTATGTTTCTTTATATGTGATTTTGTTACTTTTATGGGTGATTGGAAAAATAAAGTAGGGTTGCTAACATGTTATTTTGCATTTGCTATAGGGATTTAAGTGTTCCAGGACTTACTTCAGATGGTTTACTGCTCAAATACACTAGAAGAACTCAGCCTACTGCAAATTCTGAGCCTGTTTTCACTGCAAGATGACTCAGTGAGTTATGTTTTTAGTTACTGAATTAGGGTTTTTACTTTTCATTGACAAGATCTTATTTTCTTGTACCAAACATATATTTAGTTTGACATTTTGTTCATATATAATTTGTGTATTTGATTCAAATTGTAGTATAACTTGTAATGTACTTTCATTGGTTTGTTGTAGCATCTTATTTTCATTTCTTCTTATTATTATGTAGCATTGTATTTTGGAAAAAGTTATATAGTTATAACAATGTCATCGAATATACAAAACAATTCACTGTTATGATTTCATGTATTTTTCAAAATGAAAGTATGGAAAGCAAAAAGTATCAGTTTTTCAAGTTACTTGTAATTTGGCAGATTGAAAAAAATATTAAACCAAACATATTAATTTTCACTTTTCTTAGAATTTTTTACAAAACCAAACGGGCCCTAATTTCTATTCTATGTATGTATTGTGCAACTAACAGAAAAATGCTTTGATTTAAGGTGTGAAATTCAAAGTCATGTTTTGTTGGAGTTGATATTTTTCTTTGTATGTTAAAGATGATGTCTATAGCTATCCTTTATCATAGGAGTTACAGAGGATTTAATAATTTATATGGTTAATATCATAAACTGGCCTTCAATAATGATCAATTTGATCTTTAAGTCACTCATCTTCTAATCGTATATCAAATAACTTTAACACATTTTTTTGGTTGTCTTTAATATAAGCGTGTGTTTTTTACAGGATAAATTTTTTTCTCATCTTCTAACTGTATCAAATAGGTTAACAAATATTTTTTGGTTGCCTTTTATATCATTAAGCGTGTTTTTTTATAGGACAAATTGGCTTTCTCATCTTCTAATTGAATCAAATAAGTTAACAATTTTTTTTCCCCTTAAACTTCATCTTTGATTAAACCTTCTTCATGTTCTTCATACCATCTTCATTGACCCAAATTCTTAGTTATTTTGAGTATGTTGTTTGGTTTTGGTTGTACTCGTGTGTTTGGAGATTGTTTTTGAACCAAACTAAAACAAATAAAAACAGTGACTTACCGCAGAAAGAAAATCAATGTGATTTTAATCCTCTTGATGAACAAATTAAATAAATTATAAATAAGTTAATTTACAATTAAAGTAAGAATCAAATAATGAATTTTAATGAAATGATAATAATTTCTTTTTAAATCCATGTCAGCGCCACATAAATATAAGGTGTGGATCCCACATGGGATACAAAGTGGCTCCTGTAATTGAAAACCAAAGAAAAAATTGTTTTCGTATTGATTACAATTAAAATATTGAGTGGTTTGAAAGGCAAATCGGTATGATAAATTTGTGACATTAGCCCTAATTAATTGTGAAAAAATAAAAATCGGTCCACTTTCAATCTTTCATAGATGCATCTCACATGAAATGTTTACGTCAAATTCGAAGGCATTTAGGGGCTGTTTGTTTTTTGTGTGAATATCTGCGCAACCACTTTTGTCTGCACCGCGCAGACATATGCCCTCGCAGATTGTTTGTTTTTTGGAAGTGCGCAGATCAGAAAACATCTGCGTGAGGTCTTCCTGGCGCAGACATGGACCACTGTCTTCAAAGGTCTTCAGACCTTATTTTAACCTAAACCAAAAAAAAAAAAACATGGCCATCGTGCAGTTTTTTTTTTCTTTCATTTTTTTTTGTTAAAAATGCATTTTTAATGTTTATAACATGAAATTAAGTTTAAAAATTCAATTTATTTTAACGGCCCGCAGACGTTAAAAACAGTCTTCTTATTGCAGATTGCAGACATTTGGTCCATCTCTTCTGCTGCAGAGGCTTGCAGATGTGGTCCGCAGACTGCAGACATTTTGACTTCAAAAAAACAAACAACACCTTACTAAGAATAAGGTAGTGTTTGTTTTTTGTCTGCAGATCTGCGAGATCTCTTCTGTCTGCGCCGTGCAGACCACGCGCAAACATTAGTCTTCGCAGACTGTTTGTTTTTTTGAAGACTGCAGACCTAAAAATATATGCGCGCCCTCTTCTTGGCGTAGATGTGGACCAGAGTCTTCTAACATCTTCAGACATCTTCTAGCCTAAAAAAACATATATATCTTTATTTTTTTAAAGTTTTTTTTTCAATTTATATTTTTTCCAACTTTATTAATGATAAACAATTTGAAAAAAAAATTACAAAACTTAAAAAAAAACATTTGACGATACAAACATGATATTTTTAACAAATTTATAAATAAAAATTTATTATAATAATAGTCGTTGAAGTTGTTTATATAAATATGAAAAAAAAATCATAATATATTCTTATATTTTTTTGCCAAAATTTTGTAAAACTTTATTTAATAGAGTATGATCAATTTCTCGAGAAAATATTTATCGTACGTTTTTAATAGATTTTAATTGAAAAAATCGATGTTTATTTCCATCTATTTATGTATCAAATTCTTTGATCACTAATTATAATGTTTAGTTATAACATTTACAATCAAAGTTGTCGTTTTAATCAAATATGTATGTGAATTAATACCATTTTTATTTTTATTTTTTATATAATAATACATAAAGGTTGATCTAGATTCGTTATATATTTATACTAAAGTCGTAAAAATATATAAAAAAATCGCTTTGAAGTTTTAAAAAATCAGTTTATTTAGATTTCAGTTTATTTTAATAGCCCGCAGATGTTAAAAAAACAAACAGCCTTCTTTTTTCAGACTGCAGATGTTTGGTCCACCTCTTCTACTGCAGAGGTCTACAGATGTGGTCTGCAGACTGCAGACATTTGACTCAGAAAAAACAAACAATACCTAAGTGTAAATTGTGATGCATGAAGACAATTCACTTTAACATATCTTAATGTCATCCCTAGTATTAAGGGTGTCCATAAAGATGTTTATCAATCAGCCCTCTGGTTTTTTGAAAATGAACAAATACGCATAGTCGTGTTCAAGTGTAGTGACATTTGTTTTTGGTGTTCAATCTTGATCGAGAAATAAAATCGTCAAGTAGTGAAAGTTAAATGCAATCCATGAGTCCATGACTTATTCTTGAAACAAAATAAAGAAATACTTATCATTTGTCCTTTGTCCTTATACAAATAAAGCTCAAAAAGGCTTTAACACAATAGATTATAGTTGTTTGCCTGCTAATTACGTATTTAACATATATAAAAACTTAACACCTAATGTTATAAAAGCAAATTAATTAATAGCACGTCTGAACTGAGTTTTAATTTATTTATATTAATTATTCAATGATGACTTTCTTTATATTTATCAATTTAATCTATTTCAAATGTCTATTCATACATACCGAACAATATATCGAAATGAGTTAATAATTATTTTTTTTATGAAAACAAACAGACAATTTAACCAAACTTTGAAAAATCTTTTTGTTAGATGAAGCAAAATATAAAATACATTATCCTAAACAGATTAAATGGCCTTAAAATATTTACATAACTTTGAAATATTCAATCACACTATAATTTTTCTCATGAACTTATCATCAATCCTTTCTTTATAATGCATATATACAAGCAAATTTTAGTGATCGTGGAAATCTTGTCTCAAATGTTGGTTATACCACAAATTAGAGCCCAACAAAATATCCAAACCCATTGATCTAATCCACACCCAATCTAAAATCAACATGTTAGGTTGTGATTTTCAATTTAATTATGATAAATGGGTTAATCTGTCTAACCTATTTAATTAAATAGGTTGTGTTGGATAAATATTTCAACTCGTTTTTAACCTACCGGCTCATTTAACTTTAATATATATATTTAATTTAATAATGATTTAAATATTAATATGTGTTATGAATTATTATTTAGTGAATGACTATTGGATTCTCCATCTCCCCTATTACTCTCTATAATTAGTGAACATTATAGCAAACATTATTATAAGTTTTATGAGTGTAGTTATGCACCACTATAATGTGCATTCATATCATACATGACCTTTCATCTTCTTTGTTTAGTATAAATAGTGAATATTATGTATTGTAAAGTTTGATGATTTCATCACAAATATTGGAATACAAGTTCTCTTTATTCTCATGTCTTTCTTTACTCTATAATTTATCTTTTTATTTGATCATATTTTATAACACGTTATCAGCACGACTCTACCATAGAGCTATAACTCCTTATTGTTCTTGTCATTTTCAGGTATGTATTTTTTTATAATTTTACATGTAAAATGCTTACAACTTATTTTATGGAATTTCTTAACTAACAATTCCTCAACAGATAAGTCTTTATTTTGATTTCTATTTTCATTATGAAAAACTATGTTATGCTAGAGAAAATTTTCTCTACTTTCCATGCCACCAACATGCTCCTGCAGCAGCAATATCACGATAAAGATTTAAAAAGAATATATTATGAATTAATCTCATTTCTTCTTGTGGTTGAATAAAACTATGAACTATTGATGAAAAATCACCAATCAATCCCGACCGGTCCTAGTGCATTCCCTGAAGTGAATGCAATATCATATAATCATAATAGTCATGGGTATAATCGAGGTCGTGGAGGTTATTATCATAAAAAATAACAAGATTACAAGCAACCACCATAAGTTGGAAAATAGCAAAAATCCACATCCTAATGATAAAGTGGTGAAGGCCAAAACAAAAGAAAGTTGAAAATGTTTGTCATTGATGTGGAATGACAGATCATTGGTCTTGTACTTTCCGCTTATCAAAGCATTTTGTTGATCTTTATCAAACTTATCTAAAATCTAAAGAAAAATAAAATATCAAAACAAATTTTATTCAAAGTGATATTCATGAAGATCAACCAGAAATGACACATTTCGATGTTGCCGATTTTCTTGTCTACACCCTGAAGGGACAAGTGGTGATATGGATGGTGATTGATCAGAATAATGTGTAGTTTTGTTTCATGACATTTATTATGTTTTTATGTCATATTCGTTTCATGAGAAATGATGTCGTCACAATCTTCACAAATTAATAAAATATGAATTTATTTCTCTAAGTCGAATGTTTCTTATGTTTTATTTATTTATTGAAATGAAACATGGATATTCGCAAAAGAAATAATGAAGATATATTTCTTGCAGACAATGCAATAACACATAGCATTTTTAATAATGAAAAGTATTTTGCTTACTTATCAATTAGAGAAACAAATGTTAATATAATAACAGGTAATGCAAAAATGATTGAAGGTTCCGGAAGAGCGAATATAATATTACAAC